CATCGACCATTTGAAAAATCCTAAAAAAATTTCCAAAAATTCCCTTTGACCCCCTTAATACTGATCTGGGCTTAGTTTTGTCCAAATCTCATTGAAAATGCCCTAGATCGAACCTTAAGGATTCAGTCAAAAACCTCTTTTTTTTTTTAATTTTAACTTGCAATTTTTCTCTCTTTTATTTTTGTTTTGTGAGGCTGATTTTTCTTTTCTCTTTTTTTGGTAAGAGTTCCTCGACGCTAGGTTCCTCCCTTTAGGGGAGGACTGTGATTTTTGGAATGATGGTTTTTTTTTTTTGTTAATTTTGTTTCAAGTTTTTTTTTTTTTGGTATTTTTTGTGGGTTTTTTGTGTCAAAAAAAGAGATGTATGAAGGCTGTGAATAGGAAGGCCATGGATAAGGGGTTTGTGCAGTGTAAGTAGGGTGCTGAGGGGTTTTGGATGCAAGTGTCAAGACTGGTTCTCTAAGCTGTTGTGGATGGGTACTTTATAGGGCCGATTGCCTGGGAAGAGTGGTTGGTACAGTGGTTTGCAGGAGGTGCATGGGTGATAATGGGGCTATAGTATAGTGGTTTTGCAGGGGAATAGGTGGCCAGAGCTCTAGTGAATAGGGGTGGCCAGGGAAGCGGCGGTGGTGTTGTGCATGGCACCCACTAGCATTAGCCCCCTTTGTTTTTTTATTTTTTCTATTTTTTTGTATTTTTTGTTTATTTGTATTATTATTGTATTTAATAATAACAATATTATCTGACTAATATTTTATTTTAATACTAAATTATAAAATTAAAAATAAAATAAAAATAACAAACCCAGGCCCGATTTTATAATCGAGGCCCGACTCAAAATCTTAGACAAATTTGGTGTCTACAAAACTTGTTATAAAATATAAAAATCAAATATCACAAATCTTTACCCATAGGACATGATACATATGTTTAAATTAATTTTATAGATTAAACAAATGACATGACAAATAATATTGATTATGTGACTTAGGACACTAATTTTATTTTATTTTAATTGGTACATTAATTCTTTTACAATTATATATATTGATTTATGTATTAAAATATTAATATGAAATTCAATCATTTTCAATTTCAATTTTATTTTTGTTTTTTGTTAAGGTTTTGCTTTTATTACAAAACAATGTTTTGTTTATATATATATATATATATATATATATATATATATAATATAAGAGAAGGATCAAGTTACATAAAAAAAAGTTTTATATATTTTTTTAACCATTAATTTCAATTAATTCAATTGATGAGATTAAGTTTTTTTTTTTTTTTCATTTGTTTCTTTTATCCCTTAAATTTTATTGATATTAATAGTTCAAAAATATAGAACATTTTTAATTTTACACTGATGTAAATTGATTCTTCCCTCTTATATATATATATATATATATATATATATATATATATTAGATTACGAATTCACCAAAAGTTATTAAAAGGTTTGATAATAACTGGATTTGAAAATTAATAAAAGATTTATTTGAAATGTAAAATATAATTAAGGACATAATAGTTATTTTAAGTTTAAGTTTTTTTTTCTTTTTATGCCATTTTCTTTAATTTAAGATCATTAAAAAATTTAACAATGTAAAAGAAAGAAAAAGAGACTGAACAATCATTTTCATTTTTTTTTTCTAATTTTAATTTGTATGAAATCCAAATAAAAAAAAAGTTTCCTTATTTATTTCTTTTCCTTTCCTTACCTTAATTCAAACATTGAGTTAAGGTGGCATTTGATTAGGGAGAATTCACAAATTTTCTCTTGAAATTTTGATGGTGGGTATTTAATTCCTATGTTTGATTTAAGGTAATCTCATTATAGGAAAAAGTGACAGATTCTGAATAGTACTCAAAATCTCAGAATGAAAAACTCACATCTCTCTATGATATTCTAGAATTTCGAGGGAAAAAATTATCTTATTTTCAAATTTGACTTGAATAAAAAATTATGAAATAGTTATTACCTTTTTGAAAAGCATATTTGGAAGTAATTGGAACTTAGTTATAGGTTTTTGTATAGAAAAAAAAATTTTATATTGCAATTAAGGCATTTGGCATAAAGAAATACCTTAAATAATTATTTTATGTTTTTATAAATAGATTATTTAAGACGTTTTTATGTAGAAAATACTTAAATAATCATTTTATGTTTTAGAGTTTAGGGTTTAGAGTTAATATTTTTATAAAAGGATTACTTAAGATTATTTTTTATAAAAAATACCTTATACAATCCTTTATAAAATGATTATTTAAGACGTTTTTGTATAGAAAACACCTTAAATAATCTTTTTATATTTTTTCAAATAGATTATTTAAGGTGTTTCTATACAGAAATGCCTTAAATAATCTCATATTTTTTAAAAGAAACTATTTAAAATATTTTTGGACAAAAAACTCCTTAAATAATGCTTTTTTAAAAATATAAAGACATTATTTATCATTTGGATATTTATTATTAATAAAAATTAATAAAAAATTATCATCATTTATGTTAATAATATTATAATAATTATTTAAAAATTAATATACGTGAATTCTCACAATAAAACAAATGAATCTAAACATAAAATATTTTGAAAATGAAAAAAACTTCGAAAATCATAATTTTTTTTTTTTTTGAAATCTATGATTCCGTAAACTGTCCCCTAAAATTTAAGTGAAAATTAAAAAAACAAAATAGTGGCTTCACATCTTCTGGGAAAAGATTAAAATAGTAGATAACCTAGTAGTAATAAGTTCATGTAGGATTTGTTATGAAATCAAAATAATTTATTATTTTTCTCCACTTTTAAATGATTTATAAGAAAATACAAAAATACAAACCTTTTAATCTCTTACTTAATTTACCAAAAATTAATATTTTAAATATCTCAAATCCAATTCCTTGTGCACTTTCTATTTACCTTGAGGAATATTTTTTTATGTATTACTACTAATTCATTTTATTTATTATTATTATTATTATTTTTTGCAAGTCTAAGAAGTTAAGAAAGCATGGAGGATATAATTTACGTTTCTTTAATTTAGTGGTTAAGAAATTGAAAAAAAAAAATTCAATTTCGAACCAAAACTTCTTCTTTTTATATAGATTATATATATCTTATGTTGAAAAAAAAAGCATGGACAGTGTAATAATAATTTTATTTTGAATTTATAATATTTTTATTTGTAATTAATAAAAATTAAATTAAATTAAAAACTAGGTTAATGTTATAAATAGTTTTTAAATTATAATCAAATATTTAATATGATATATAAAATTTAAAATGTTTAATGTAATACGTAAATTATAAATTTATTAATTAATGTGATATTTAAAAAATTAATTATCAATTACATATCATCATTTGAATGTAATTATATTAAAATAAATATTATATTAATTAATTTTTAATTTAAATATTATATTAAAAAAATTAAAATTAAAATATTAAATTAAATATTTAATATATATATATATATATATTATACAACAACATACATAAACAAATTTATTACATTGATGCCTATGTGGGCAGCTCTTTTAAATGATATTTAGTATAATTTTTTTAAAAAATAAAATAGTTTCTTTTACTTACAAATTATATAATTTTAAAATTATTCAAATATAAAAATTATTCAAATTCTAATTGAAAATCAAATCAATTTAGAGATATATCTTTTTTAAAATTAAAAATATAAAATATGGATTTTATTTTTTAATAAAGAATTTTAGTTGTTTACCAAAAACTTTATTTAAAAAATTATTTAATTATCAAAATCTTTTAAACATATTTAAAAATTACAAAGATTAAGTTTTTTTCAAATCTTTCAACAATATTTTTTATCTTGATTTAAAAAATTATCTTTTTAAAAAATTAACATAAGATATTAAAAATTTAAGCAACTTTATGTAAGATTTTAAAAATTCAAAAAATTTTCGTTTTAAAATTTTAAATAATAAAATTATCAAAACGAATATATTCATTTGAACTCTAATTATCAAATTTATATTTCAAATAAATGAAAAAAATTAATATTATATTTATTACTTATTATATTCATTTTAAATTTTAAAAAATTAATTTAAAAATTATCTATGTAATCTTAATTATTACTAAAAATTTTTTTTGTAAATTTAAGACTATAAATGTAATATGTTATACATTATTTTTTTTATTTTTTCAGTAATTTTCTTCAAGGTATATTTTATTACTATTATATTTGTTTTTTGTTTATAACTTTTTTTCAAGATATATTTTATTATTATTACAATTTTATTTTTATGAAAAATAATATTTTTTTAATTTATTTTTTCTTCATTCACATGTTATTTAACATTTTTCATATTTTACACAATAATTTAGTTAAAATTACTAAAGTGAAAGTATGTTAATATATTTTTATTATTTAATTTATCATTCAATAATATATATTTTTATTTTTGTAAGAAAAATATAATTTATTTTTACTTGATATAATCTTATAGGTATATAAAAATTATTATAAACAAAAATTATTTTCATAAAAGTTATTGTTTAATAATAAATTAATATATAAATTTTATATATGTTATAAATTTTAAAGATTTAAATATAATTTAAAAATAAAAATTAATATATATTTATATTAAATAAATAAAATTATTTTGTGATATAATTAATTTTATTATAATTTAAGGTTGATGTGACGTTAACAAAATTAAAAAACAAACCTAAGACAGGCTGACTGGGGCCACGGAGATTGAGCCAAACACGTGCACACCAAAGGAAAGTGAAGCAAAGTTGGTGCAATAATGTGACACGTCGTCAAATTTGACCTAATCTATCGCTACAAGTTACGTTTACTCTTTTGCTTTCGAATTTCCCTCTTACTCCACCATACAATCGTTACTAAAAAAAACAAAAATAAAAAATGCTTTCTTTTTATTTTTATTAATTAATAATAAGTAATAATAATTAAAATCCATTGAGAGGAACCCTTGCATTTAGTAGCGAAAAAAGATAGACGATAAAGAAGAGCAAAAAAAAAAAAAAAAAAAAACGGAAAACTCCGATCCCCGACACTGTCGCTTTACCCAAAGAAAATTTCGCTGCGACAATCAATGACACAACCAATTACTAGTAATAATTATTAAAAATCCCGAAAAACTTTGATTTGTCTAACAAATATTTAGTTTTTTTGGGATCCTCTTGGCCTTTTCTTTTGGGGAATAATTCTCCCTTTTTTTCTCTTTCAATTTCTCTCATTGGAAAGCTTTGCTTTTCCATTACCAAATTTCCTCCAAAGCCTTGTCCTTACCTCCTTTGCAATGGCTGTTCTTCTTCGGATTCTCTGCTAGCTCCTCCCTCCATATTCAGGTAATGAACTTTCTTTTTTTTTTTTTTGGTTTAATTTTGCTTGTTCTGTTTTGCAGGTATTTTTGTGGTTTTGTTTTCTGAGTAATAAAGTTGGGTTAGGGTTGATTTGACAAGGAAGTAAAGAATTTATGTGAAAGTGACAGTTTTGTCTTGATGGTTGGTTTGTTGATTTTTTTTTGGTTCTTAGGTTTCAATAGTTGGTTGTCCGAAATATAGCTGATTTGGTTTGTACTTTTATGGGTAGATTTAAAATTTTCGGTAATTGAAAAAAAGGTTAAATTTTCATTTTTAGTTGCCCATCAAGCTTAAATTATTTGAAAATTAGGCTAGCTTAAAATTTTCAGATCTAGAGTATTGAATTGGAGCTTCTATATGCAAAAATTGTTATCTGAGTGCAGGTCCAACATGCTTGAAAACCTAACAAATTTTTTTGGGGGTATTTTTATGTCAATTTATCTTGATTTATATTTGATAAAAAAAATTTTAATTGGGTCAATTTCATCAGCGTTTGAGAGAGAGGGAAACTAATCATATTCATAATTATTGCTAGCAACCCAATATTATGGTAGTGATTACAATAAGTATGTGATTTATTAGCTTAATTATCACATTATGATAGTGATTTCTTATCTCAATTTCCATATCATGAGTATGGAAATCTGTTGGTTTGATCTACGTGAAGGAAACAATAATGGATTTTTTTTTTTTTAATTTTACATGCCCTTTATTCATGACTTTATCCAGTTTCTTCTAAAGGTACTCATGCATTTGCTTTAATCATGGACATTTATGAATGCACATGTAGTGGAAGATCCAAACCCTACAAATCCAATCCTGGGTTTCTTTTCACTATTGTGGTGCATATTTAACAATGGATGACCAAGGTGGTAGCAAGTTGACCGGAATCAGGCAGATTGTTAGACTAAAGGAATTCCTTCAAAAGTGGCAAACTGTCACATTAGGCTCAAGGTCAAATACCCCCCATTCAGAAGAAAATCATGGGGATGTCTCACGACCAATTAACAAAAGGCTAACAAATGTTATGTGTTGTGATTCTGATGAGGAGAGCTGCCACAGTCCTGAACCACCGCCTGATGTTCCAAAGGGATATTTGGCAGTTTATGTTGGGCCAGAGCTTCGGAGGTTTATCATCCCCACGAGCTACCTTACCCATCCTGTCTTCAAGATTTTGCTTGAAAAGGCTGAGGAGGAATTTGGGTATGATCACAACGGCGGGCTTACTCTCCCTTGTGAGATTGAGACCTTCAAGTATCTCCTGAAGTGCATAGAGAACCATCCTAAGGGTCACCTTGTTGACAGCTCAGTTTCTGAACAGGTCCTTATTTGTTTTTAGCTAAAAACATTTATTTCGTATGCAAATCTCACATGCTCATGGGACAATAAGTTCATTGCTCAGCTTCATTCTTCTCAAACTTTTCCCTAATATGAAGTTTCCATATGGTTTTGCAGCTGGAGATTCATTAAATATTGGGAAAGAGTAATTGTGCTGGTCTTATAGTGGTCAAGAACTTTTGGGGTTTAAAGCAAGGTCACCTTGTAAGCAGATTTTTTTTTTTCTGGTTAATTGGCAAACGATAGGAAACTTTTAGTTAGAAAATTTCAGGTGTATGAAATGAATGTGATGAGAGGGGGCAATGTTTAACCTCTCTGTCCTTATTGGAATGTGACTGGCATCTAATGTTTGATTGATAATGAAATACTTTTATGCATCACCGCCTTCATGCATCTGTTCGAAATCTTGTCTCTAATACTGGATGAGATCAATTACATTTCTATTATAATGTCGTTGGTTTCCTGTCTGGCTAAATTGAATATTAGGAACCTTTCGGTGGGCAAATTGACATTTGAATTTGTTTTCCTTCCTTCTGCACATGCTACTATTGTGTAGTTGTATGAAAACTACTATCAGTTTTGTTCGGATGCAATGCAAGTGACCATATATTATTGTATTATCATGTGCTTTTTTGGTAGTCTGCTCCAACCAAATCTTATGATTGAGCTGTCCCACTCCTGCCTAGTTATTAAACCCTAGCAATCTGGTATCATAAGGTCACAAGATTATTTATTTATTTATTTTTGATAATGAAGCCCTGAAGTTCTCTTTCTTAAAATTGCACATGATCCAGAAGATTGCGACATCAATGCGCAATGTGATGATTTCAAATTTCAGCTCCTTTATTCATCAAGATGTTGAGAACAATGATGGTAGCACTGGTAAAATTCAGGCTAAAATAATAAAAAATTTTTGAATTTTATTATTTTATTTAAAGAAATATTTATTTTTTATTATATTCAAATAAATTTTTAACTTTTAATTTACAATAAATTCTTAATCTTTAATTTGTATCTAAATAAGTTTGTAATCTTTAATTTGTACTTAAATAAGCTTTTAATATAAATTAATTTTTTATTTGAAATAAAGATATATTTATACAAATAAAAAAAAAAGGTTTATTTAAATATAATAAAAGTATAGAAATTTTTTAGTATTTTAACGGAATTTATTATATTCATATGATTATTTTCAAAGGACTAAAACACTCTGTAAAGCAAGAAAAAAAAAAAAACAACTAATTAAAACACTCAAACTTTATGCTTTTTCATTAGTGATCTAAGCATTTGATTCGATGATCAGTACATGATTTACTTTATTTCAGAAGGTAAATTCGAATCTCACTACTCCCCGATATAAAAAACCGAGTGTCTTAGAAAAAAAAAAGAACGAAAGAAAAAAGAAATTTGTCAGTGATTGTCGTTTTGAGTATCGGGGACTTTCAAAATGTCTGAAGAAAAGTTTAAGTGCCACAGGAAATCCACTCCAGCTTATGGCTGGCTTCAATGATGTGGGCTTGTCCAAGTCTCTCTCTCTCTCTGCCGTTCCGTGGGCTTTTTCCTTTCGCCTCATTTTCCTCCCTCACTTTCTTGTTTTTCTTCGTCGTCCATCTTTCCGGTGTATTTCTTCTCCTTTCTAGACGGGAAACAAAGTTGTAAAAAGTCACCCAGGATTGTCCTCAGTGGATTGGCTCCAACAACCAAAGGCCATCCTGATAAAAGGTGACAGACTGAAAATGTTTATATTAATCTAACCCTAGAGTGCAGCAAAAAAACATGAAAACAAGTCTTAACTCTTTAAGAGTTGTGGCAAACAAAAGGTGAAGTGTTAAGTCTAAAAAGGTATTTAAACTAACCACATGGTGTCAAGGGATTCAATGGAGCTACCACGTTATTTTATCATTGGACCTTCATCATCCATCCAAACGAAACATCAATCTAACTAAAGTATGGCAAACAAAATTAGGTCTTTACTCTGTAATATAGATTGTGGGCTGAGTTGCAATGTTTATAAAGTATTATATAACTATAAAAAAAATTCTACAAAATTATGTCTCTACTCTCTACTCCAAAATTATGCGCCGAAGATTCAGAAATGATTAAAACATGTACGGTCTAGCTTTGTGTTGCAGAAGATTGAGAAATTATGATATAGCTTCTTCTGGAAAAGAAAAGATGGATCAGCAAGGAGGGCCAGAGTCAGCTGGAAGGCAATCTGTTATTGTAAGTCAGAAGAAGGGTTAGGTCTCAAAGATTTGAAATCATGGATCCAGGCTTGTTTATTAAAACATGTATGGTCAATCTTCACCAAGGCAGGATCAATATGGATTGCATGGCTGGAAGCTTATGTGCTTAAGGGGGAAGAAGCATTTGGATGACTCCCGCTCAGCATAACAGTAGCTGGAGCAGGAGGAAAATACTCCAGCTATGGGGTATCGCCTTAAAATTCATCAAGATGGAGAATTGCACTGGAGGTATGGTCTTTTCCACAAAATTGCTACTCTGCTACAACAGTTTGGAATAAGATCAAGGGTGGCACATATTAAATTGGTTCAAATTTCATATACCAAAGCATTCTCTGATTTCTTGGATGACAATTTTGAGTAGGCTTCCAACTAAAGATGGACTGAGAGCTTGGGGTATAGAGGTTGAAGATAGATTCTGTTTGTGTAAAAATGAGGTTGAATCAAGAGACCATATATTCTTTGGCCGTGACTTCTCAAAGGAACGGTGGAAAAGGATCCTTCTTTTGTGTAGGATCGACAGGAGGGTGGAGAGTTGGACAGTAGAAATACGCTAGGCAGTGGAAAAGGGGAAAGCACTGATCTCAACCGCACTGAGGTTGGCCTGGAATGCATACATTTATTAGGTTTGGAGGTAAAAGAATCACAGGATATTCAAACAAATGGAAAAATCAATAATGCAATTGATTAATCGAATACCGGACACTGTTAGAATGCGACTACAGGGGATAAGCATGATTGTCGCAGATCCAGTAAACAAAGCATTGTGTGAAACATGGAAACTTAATGATGAAATGCTAGAATAGGCTTTTTGATTGTTGTTTGATTTTCTTACGGACAAACAAACATCTAATCACCTCCATTTGCAAAATACATTACATCGTTCTTTCTTTTCTTTTGTAAAGTTTCTACACTCTGGGAGGTGGTAGAAGCCAATTCCTGCATGGATATAAGTCATGCTCATGAAAGGTTTAGCCTCTACCTCACTCAGAATTTTTGCAAATCCAACTCGACCTGAGGAACTAACCCCCGGCCCCATGCACTTGTACTCTCCATAATGTACAGTCTGCAAATCATTAAAACCATTAGTTTTAGCAATTTCAGAACAATATGTTAGCTCAGATGGATACCGGTTGCGCTCAGGATGCTCATCAGTGGACCAGCCTTCACTGTTGATGATGGTACTTATGTATGTGAAAGCAAAGATGACTCTAGGCCTTAGCTTCCATGCACGCCCAAGGTCAGTGGTGCTGTTGCTTGCACCTGTTATATTACAGTAAAGGAATGTAAATCCACTGTCATCGCCTACATTTTCCCCGGCTTGTGCTGTGTTCACAACCACATTCTTTGCAACAGATTGAATTGTGGTGTTCTGCATCAAAAACATATAGCCTTCTGAAATGAGCCTTGTTTGCAAGAAAAGAATGATAATATTTGGCATCCTTTAAAGTGGGAAGAAGATGTGGGAATTACCAAATAAAGGGATTTGCCATTTCCAAAAATAAAATCGAGAGTGCCTTCAATGTAGCAATCTTTGAAGAAATGCATGCCCTCATCGTCACATGGTGTATCTTGAAACCCTATGAACTTGCAGTTTTGGAATGCTGGTCTGCCCCCCCTATCATCGCTACTGCCTGTGCCCCCACTTGTTGGCCATCCGCCATTGGAGCTGATTCTAACTTCACAAAGAAAGAAGAAAAGACATTAAAAACGACCCTCGGATTAAGAATGATTGTGAGTTTTGTTTTCTCCAACAAAGAACCGCGTTGAACTTATTACGTACTAATACCAGTACGCTCAAGTTATAATTATAGTAATGTGAGACTAGTTGCTATAAATGAAAAGTTAAAACGCACCACAAAGGCAATATTGACAGCCATGAAGTAGTCACTCTCCATCGCAACCGTCTTACTATTCAAGAACCAAACGCTGCTGCCGTCCCATTAAGCACAATCTTGGGCGCATCCGTCGGTTTCCCATAAAACGTCACAAAATTCTTAGTTCTATTAATGGTGATCTTCTCAAAGTACTCGCCACCGCCAATCCAAACCACCACCCTTTGCATGTTCTCTGACGGAATGCTATCCAATGCGGCAGTCACCATGTCGAAGTCTCTGCTGCCATTTTTCTTGTCCTTGACAACCTTTACGGCGGCATCCTCCGCCTTGACCAGGAGCTGGTCCAGAACGGTGCGGTTGAAACCATTGGCAATATTAGCTTTCATTTATTGGTGTTCTTCCATGTTCCGAGCGATCCATGACTCAAGTGTCCATGCAACTGGCTAAGGTGCGGTGGACATTACTGTGAAAATGAGTTGAAGAGCAAGCAAAGTTGTAAAAACAGGCGTAAGAAGGGAGAAAATTTGCATTTCTTGAGCCATTCTTGATTGAAGGATTGATGATTTCATCATAATTCATAGTTGCTTTTATAGGATTCTAATGCAAATGGTTGCAAGTGAAGTTGGCAGTGTTTTTGTTATTCTGTTGGGTTTTCCTGGTTGAAGGCTACTTAATTTCAAGATTGCTTTGTGGTTTATAGAGTGGCGGGTATGGGGAATTTTTGTTAGGAGAAAGCCAGAAAGGTTAGAAATATATGAAAAGCATGTAAATTATGGAGGGAAATGAGTTTCATGACATGCACGGTTGCTAACGAAGTTTCTGGTCAGTAACAGTCGATTAGAGAACACGCCATAGTTGGCAAATAGCAACGACGCACTCAGGCGGAAAGAGCGTCGGAAAGATGGGTTTGGAGTTTGGGCCTAAGACACTGCGACGTGGTGAATCCATATCTATAGGATGAAAGGGACTGGTGGGCTTCTTCCTTTTGCAAAGTAAGAAAGACACAGGCTTCACAAAGTTTCTGAACCCAATTGTTAGGTAGTCCTAATCGTTAAACTTTTAAGCCCCAAATCTCATCCGCTGTAGAGTTTTTTAATTTTACGAGTTAAAAAAAATGTGATACTTACTTTTAATGTATATTAAAAATAAAAAATAAACATGTGACAGTGTTTTATCCCTATTTATAGGGTTAAAAAAATTACACACGAAGTGTTATACATGTACCACCTGTAGCCGATATTTATGTTGAGCCCATTTATAGAGGAACAAAGGTCCATTTTACATGGTTTCTAAGGCCTTTTTTTTTTTTTTTTCTAAATTGAAGATTCGAATTATGAGTAAGGGGATATGTGCATAAATGATTGAGTTAAATGATGGGAGCTTATTTTGATAGGAAACAAGATCAGCTTTTCAAATTGAAAGGTTGTAGCTGATTGCAATCAACGCTGTCGATCTGTTGTAACCTAAGGATGGATGAAATTAATTAGTAGGGTATTGATAATTTAATTATAATTAAATTAATTGATCAAATTGATTTAATTTAATTAATCGATTAGTCATTAAATTAATTTCAGTTAGTTATAAAAAATTATTTTTGAAAAATTTAAATTTTGATTAATTCGGTTCGAAAACTAAATTAATTAAATTAATCAAAATTTTAGTCGAAATATTATAAAATCTATATATAAAACAAAAAATGTATGAAATATCTATTTCATTTTAAGTTATTAGAGTTTTTAATTTAAAATTTTGATATTTGAATATTTTTGTTAGATAATATTATTTAATTTGTTTTACACATGAGAAAATAAAAAATTAAAATATAATTTAACTTAATATATTTTATTATTTGGTTAATAAAAAAAAATTAACCGCATCGCTCAAATTAATTTTGGTAATTTAATTTTTAAAATTAAAAAATTTGATTCGATTAATAAAAATAAAATAAAAAATTTAATTTTAATTAATTAGATTCGAAAGTAATCCAATCGACCGAATAAATACCTATTAATTGTATAATGTTCCAAGGCAAAAACGTGTCTTTAAACCATTTTAATTCTACAGACAAGTCAAAACAATTGCATGGATTCCAGACCAGGCCATTGCAAATAACTATCGAATATATAGGATCAAATTACTAAACAATAACCATACGTCAGATCCCGACCCCCTTAGAAAAATTACAACATTTTTGTATTATCTATTAGTAGTTTAAAATGTGGTGTATCCCACATTAAGTAGAAAGATCATTTATATGTAGTTTAAAAGAGATTACTTATGTTATTTAAGTAATTGAGTTAAGTGTTGGAGTGAGTCAAGTCATTTGGGCTTACTAAAAGTTTTTTTAGTGGGTCATATAATTTTAACAGTCAAATATAGCCATTTGAGCGTAAGTAAATAGATTTAATTTTTAAATCTTTTATTATTATTTTTTATTTCAAAATATTACTAATTCTAAATAAATGTTTAAATAGAAAAAAATATGATGGTTCGAATAAACATATTTGAATAAGAAAACATAATTGTTTAAATAAAGTTTATTCAAACAAAAAAATATAACTATACAGAATGTCATAACTTTTTAAATTGACTTGATTGGTGACTGTTCATTTATTATAAATAGATATTTTTGTCTGACTAATTTCACTACTTTTGATTTAGAGAGTTTTTTAAGGCTTTATTGTATCTTACAAGCATAATTGCCTTTAAAATAGTGTTCTGCACGCTTCAAAGCCATATTTTTTCTTTCTAATTATTTTTGTTTTCTTAAATTTTTTAACAATTTAAAGGCAATTATAGATACTGCATCTACTGTTGGTCCCTACTACTACTATAGATTTGGAATCGAGCATGAAGATTCATTTTTAAAATCAAGATGTAATCAGATTGATGTTTTTAATGGATCAAACTACACTAGGTGGAAGGATAAAATGATCAAACTACACTGCATTGACAAATCAATCATGAACTAAGTGTACAAGTTGCAAATTTCGGTTTTTAAGTTAAGTAAGCTAGAAATTAAAGTTTTTGATTCACTTCAAGTTGGAGCTATTTTATTAAAACTCTCTTTCTTGGAATGGATAGAAGAAGAAAATTTTGCATTTAACAAATACTTTCACTATTTAAGAATCTAGACTCACATATAGCATGAAGCAAACAATCATGCAAGAGATGCACTCTTTCTTGGAGGTTCCAATGTGAATTATGTAAGAAAACAAAATTTTAAAAAACTCACAAGTCTTCTGATAAAATTTAAAACAAATTTAAAGTCAAGAAGAATGGATTTAAGAAATCTAAATTTAACAAGAATAAAATATGTTTCCATTATGGAAAGAAAGGACATTTAATTAAAGATTGTAGGTTTAAAAATGCTGAAATTAAGATTGGTTCTAGTTCTGAAAATAAGGCAATTCTGGTTGAGTAAGAAATTAATGAACTTGTTGCAATGGTGATTGACATGCAAATTGAAATGATCATCGAAGTTCATATAGTACTGCAAATAAGTTATCTAATTGGTGGTTAGATTTTGGTGCAACAATTCATGTTTGCAATAACAAAGAGCAATTTAAGACTTATAAAGAATGCAAAAGACCAAAAAACATCCTTATTGAAAATCATGTTCCTGTTAAAAGTTATTGGAAAAGGAACGGTTGAATTAAAATTCACCTCAGAACAGAAACTAACTTTACTTAATATTTTTAATGTTCCTGAGATTAGAAAGAACTTTATATCTGCAAATCTATTATGTAAGAAAAGCTTTAACATTGTTCTAGAGTCTGACAAAGTTATAGTGTCCAAAAATGGTGTATTCTTTAGAAAAAAGATATTCTAATGATAGTATATTTAAACTAAGTATTGATGAAATAAATAATATTTTTACTTATATTGTTGAGCATTCTTCTTCTTTATGACATGTTGGATTAGGACATTTAAATTATTAATATATGAATCATATGAATAAGCATGATTATATAACATACCAGAAAAATCATGACACTAAATTTGAAATCTGTATCAAAGCAAAAATGACTAAGAAACATTTTCCTAAAGTTGAAAGAACTATAGAATTGTTAGAACTCATATATTTTGATATTTGTAAGTTAAATAGTTTAATAACAAAGGGAGAAAAAATGTATTTTATAATATTTATAGATGATAGTTCTCGTTATACTTTTGTGTATCTAATGAGAACAAAAGATGAAGTTTTTGATAAATTCAAAGAATATAAATTAATTGTTGAAAATCAAAAAGGCAAATCAAAATTTTTTGAATTGATAGGGGTGGCGAATATTTTCCAAATTCATTTTCTTTTTTTTTTTGTGAAGATAATGAAATTATTCATCAAAAGATAACCTTTTATGCACTTTAACAAAATGATTTAGCTAAAAGAAAAAATAAAACCTTAGTTGATATGGTAAATAGTATGTTGTTAAATGCTAAATTACCTATAAATCTTTAAGGAGAAGCACTTTTAGTAGCATACCATATACATAATAGAATTCTTTCAAAGAAATTCTTGAAGATATCATATGAACTTTAGACTCATAGCAGAAAACTAAATTTAGATTATTTTAAAATGTGGGGATGCATTGCCTTTTATAAAATACATCATCCTTATAAATCAAAATTAGGACATAAAGGTATTAAAAGTATATTTTGTCGGTTATGCACAAAAATCAAATGCATATAAACTTCTTGATTTAAATACTAATGTTATTATTGAATCTAATCATGTGAAATTTTTTGAAAATAAATTTATATATGATACTAAAATTGATATGAAAAAACAAATTGGAATGATTCCTACAACTGAAAATAAAATAAAAGAAAGTAATGATTCTATTAAACTTATAAGGAATAAAAGAACTAAGAAAGAGAATATTTTATGTTCTGATTTTGTTTCTCCAAATTCTATAATATTCTTAGTAGAAGAAAATAGAATCAAAGTGCTTAATAAAACACCAATTCTACTAAATGTAGATGAAGACCTTAAAACATTTAATGAAGCTATAACTTCAAGAGATATTGCTTTTTGGAATTAGGCCATTAATGATGAAATAGACTCAATTATGTCCAATAATACATAGGTCTTAGTAGATTTACCTTAAGCTTTTAAACCTATAAGATGTAAATGGGTGTTTAGAAAGAAATATAATACAAATGATTTTGTACAAACATTTAAAGTAAGATTAGTTGCAAAAGGTTTTAAACAAAAGGAAGGCATAGATTATTTTGATACATATGCTCCAGTAGCTAGAATAATATCCATTAGAGTTTTTATAGCTTTGGCTTCCATTTATAAATTACATGTATATCAAATGAATGTTAACATGGCTTTTTTAAATGGTGATTTAAAGGAAGAAGTATACATGGAACAACCAGGAAGTTT